TGTGACAGTGATATTTGTTATTTACACAGTTGGCTAACTCTTGTGACAGTGATATTTGTTATTTACACAGTTGGCTAACTCTTGTGACAGTGAAATTTGTTATTTACACAGTTGGGTAACTCTTGTGACAGTGATATTTGTTATTTACACAGTTGGCTAACTTGTGTGACAGTGATATTTTTTATTTACATAGGAGGCTAACTCGTGTGACGGTGAGATCCAGGACCTGAGAGATCACCAGCTGGATCTGAGTAGTCAGCTGGAGCAGAATCAAGTCACGGTTCAACATCTTCAGAGCAATTCTGATACAATGGATGGCGACATTGAACGATTGCTGGAAGTCAAGCAGAAAGTCAGTATTTCAAAAGGCATTAATCCTTGAAATGCCCACTCCTTTTCCTTAAAGATTTTCCTATCTTCCACACACACAAATACTTTGTCAGGTGGTATTTCTATCTCTTCCACACATACAAATACTTTGTCAGGTGGTATTTCTATCTTTTTTTACACATACCAATACTTTGGTAGCAGAGTACAGTAGAAATTGATTGATCCTAAAAATAAAGGGCATGTCTCGGATAAACATGGATAGTGGATTCATCCTGCACAACACACCTTCATATATATATATTTATAAACTACATTTTGAATATGTTTTTTNAACTTTGTCAAGTGGTATTTCTATCTCTTCCACACATACAAATACTTTGTCAGGTGGTATTTCTATCTCTTCCACACATACAAATACTTTGTCAGGTGGTATTTCTATCTCTTCCACACATACAAATACTTTGTCAGGTGGTATTTCTATCTCTTCCACACATACAAATACTTTGTCAGGTGGTATTTCTATCTCTTCCACACATACAAATACTTTGTCAGGTGGTATTTCTATCTCTTCCACACATACAAATACTTTGTCAGGTGGTATTTCNACGTACGCTACTGTACACTGCTACCTTTGTCAGGTGGTATTTCTATCTTTTTTACACATTGGTCAGGCAGAACTTTTATGTCCCATAGAGATGGCGGAGGCGTTAGGGATAGCGACACAAAACATATACAGGAAGCAAAGTTTTGGTGCATTCTCATTTCTGGGTAATCAGTATTTTGATGGATATTTGGTGTGGTGGTAGAGTGCTGGGCTAGTGACCTGGACGATATTTGGTGTGGTAGAGTGCTGGGGTAGTGACCTGAACGATATTTGGTGTGGTGGTAGAGTGCTGGGCTAGTGACCTGGACGATATTTGGTGTGGTGGTAGAGTGCTGGGCTAGTGACCTGGACGATATTTGGTGTGGTGGTAGAGTGCTGGGCTAGTGACCTGGACGATATTTGGTGTGGTGGTAGAGTGCTGGGCTAGTGACCTGGACGATATTTGGTGTGGTGGTAGAGTGCTGGGCTAGTGACCTGGACGATATTTGGTGTGGTGGTAGAGTGCTGGGCTAGTGACCTGGACGATATTTGGTGTGGTGGTAGAGTGCTGGGCTAGTGACCTGGACGATATTTGGTGTGGTGGTAGAGTGCTGGGCTAGTGACCTGGACGACCTGACTGTCATATATAGTTGATACTCCATTCTTTAACAGGGCAGTCTATAGCATGAGATGTTAAACCTTCAATCTAAATATTACTGTGAACATGGAATATTTTGGTATTTTTTTATTAACAAATCTAATGATATTGAGTTTTTAGACACCTTTCACACGTATCTCCTGGATTTCTCTACCTTCCACTCCTGCACACCTCAGACTGAGTTCTTCACACACGAATACATTGGGATCAGTGTTATCTTCAGCCTTTTCCTCCTTAACATAATTAGAGATCATCATAAGAATCAAACATTAAGTGACTTTTGACTATTCCAGGAATATCATTTTTACACCAACAACACAGACAATTAAAAGTGCACACATAAGGGAATACTTATATACAGATAACTATTAACTAAAAAGTATATACTTAACAGACTAGTGACTGCATGGACTTATACGAGCAGGAACACCCAGAAAACCCTCCATAAATGATAGAAACTCAGACTGTTGAATCCTAAGTGATTGCCATGTTCATCTTTTAAATTCTATTCTATATATATTTCCTTTACCCTACAGAACATGACAGAAATTCTAGAGAAGCAACAGAAAACAAAATACTTCCAACAGGCTAAAGATGGAAAGTATACTATGCTGTGCAAGTCGGAGTCTTCGCTGGAGAACGAGAGCACCAAGCAGGTGGATCGAATGCAAGCTCTCAGTGCTATTGTAGACAGACTTAACCAGGAGTATCCACATGTACAGCCGGCTATGCGGCGTGTCACTTTGGCCTTGAGTGCACGTGCTGATGTCAGTGAAGACTAAGCCTCCTTTAGACAGTGATCTCCTCAGTTCGCATACAATGGGCTACAAATTGTCTTTCATGTTGCATTCCATGCTGTTACATTTCAATAGCCCTTGGTAATATCTTTTTGTGATCTTATTTATGGCTATACGGTTATTAACACTCCTACAAACTATTTCTTAAATATTTATTGATACAGACCTACAGGCTAAGCCTTGAGTTTTAATATGTCACACTGTGTCCTGTCAGAAGACAGTAAGTATACAGACCACTGGTAACTATCTAATTTGTAATATGTCACACTGTGTCCTGTCAGAAGACAGTAAGTATACAGACCACTGGTAACTGTCTAAGGTTGTAATATGTCACACTGTGTCCTGACAGAAGACAGTAGGTATACAGACCACTGGTAACTATCTAAGTTTGTAATATGTCACACTGTATACAAACCTACAAATGTATTAGAATCAGATAAAATAATATTGTATGTTCTGGACCATGATGTAATAACTGATGTATGTCATGGACCATGATGTCACAACTGATGTATGTTCTGGACCATGATGTCATAACTATGAGGGTGGATCTGCTTTGCTAATGAAACAGGGCAAAAAAGGACCATAGTCATTTTCAAATCTTTAAGAATTTGATTGATTTCTTGAACATATATTGATTTAATATCACTGATAGAATAAATGTGTGCTTGATGTTGTCCTCATAAGTATAGAGTACAGATACATTTACATACAACATGTATAACCAGATAATACACATTTGAAATATTGAGTTGGAGGAAGACTGTACTTGATATTGAGCCGTTGGTGTGAGATTGGCTACAGTAACAAAGGATAGTATACCATCACAGAGGCTTTACCACTAGTGGCCTCTCATCTCTGCCCGAGATAGGACCAGACTGAGCTCACAATCTTACCAATGAAACTCCTTTGTAAATGTTTATAAATATGTCACAATTGTAAATACAACTTATTTAAATGATCAAAATATGAAATAAAATTACTGTCTTGAGCCAAATGTCTGGGAGTTTTTTCATCTACTTGACAAGCTGAATTACATGTTAACTGCTGATGACCAGTGTGAGGCTGACCAGTGTGAGGCTGACCATAGTGAAGCTGACCAGTGTGAGGCTGACCAGTGTGAAGCTTACCAGGCACGTCCTTGAGCTTTTATGACAGCAGATTGTTGACTGGCAAACAATTTGTTTGATTAACTTCCCTAATGTTGTCAGTAGCATGCTGGAATGACCAGATCAGATGTGTTGAGATACACCACTTCCTTGTATGACCAACAGTACTAGGTTCACAGCTTTGATACACCAC